AAGGAAAAGTAAAGGAAGATAAGACTATGCAAAATAAGTTGAGCTAAGGGTTGAGGACCAAGACAGGGGTGGTCCCCTACACTGGCCATCAGTCTCTGTATCCTAAGCTGCCCCACGACAACAACGAGCAAGGGACTGGGGGGTATTGGCATAATAATTACCATTTTTATTTCATACCACAATTATAATTATCATTTCATATTATTATTATCATTAATAATAATGATAATGGTGATGACAGTAAAAATAACATAATAATTGTTATCATGTTTATCATGGTCATGATCTTGATAACCATTATTATTTTCAGGATTTTTTTCACTGATATTATTATCATCATTATCATTATTATTATTATTCTCATCATCATCATTATTACTACTATTATTATTATTATCATTACTATTACTGTTTTTACTATTATCACTTATATTTTCCTTAATTATCATCACAATTTGCAGGTCAAAAATGTTTATTAAATGTTTTGTTAAATCAAACTTTCACCTATAATATAAGCATCAATATATTTACTTTACCATACTTTCATGAATTAACAATACATTTAATAACCGATTTTGTTACAGACCACTGGTTTGAGAACACCTTTGGACATGTAAGATTTCATTTATGCTGTGATTACTCCTACTACTATTATTACTATTATCATTACTCCCAACAGTAGCAGTTGTTGTTTTTGTTTTAGATGTGTCATTACTTTTCTTTCTTTTTTTTTTAGGGTGGGGAGGCCTGGCAACTCTCACTTTGGATCATATGTTGGCACAGTCTAGTTTCCTGCCTTTAGTTGTGTTGCTATTACTTCTTTCAATACTTTTCTTAGTCAGAAATTAAACAAAATATAAGGTGTATCATTTTAGGAAAAAAGCTTATTTATATTGTATATTCCAAAAGATTGTGACTAATGGAAACCAAATGCAGTACATCTGAAAATAATAAACTTGTTAGCCAACTAATCATATAATACACTTGTGCCAGATGTAAATAGTATAAAGGCCATGCATGAAAAACATAAGTTAACAAATATTTACAGAACAAATTTGTACAGTTAGCATTATTGCTTTTTAAGATCATGGTAACCTGTATGACCATAATTCTTTTAAACATCCCTCATTACTTTAAACCTTCATAATCAACTTTTTTACATTTTTTTTTTACTTATTCTTTCACAAATATTATTCTATACCTAAACTGTATACTTTTAAGTTAAGTAATTTACATATACATATATAACTAAAATTAGGAAGTCCTGTTAATTTATGACAACCTTCTGAGTTCCACTGTTCAATGAGCAGCTTTGTTTCAAATGTTTCTAGGCTCCAGGTATCAGATTTAAGTGAATAGACTATAGATATCCAGAATCTTATACTAACTTGCTTAAATATTTTGGTGAACTGACTAGTAGCTACCTTTTCTGAAAATGTCAATATGCACCTTTCATCTAGTTCAACCTAATTCTGACACTATCTCCTACTTTTTTTATTATTTAAATCAGGGAACACTATTATTCTACATATATATATATATATATATATATATATATATATATATATATATATATATATATATATATATATATATATATATATATATTCATCCCCATTAACAAGAGAGTTAAGGAAATGGTTTTACAGATATACATTTTTCAATTAAAAACTTGTTTCTGCAGATTGCATTCTCTACGAACCAAGGAATAATATAAGATTCAGATAAATTAATATCTATTAATGGCTGATTCAGCAGTTGGAAGATGTGTAAATTGGGGAATGAAAAAGAAAAAAATGAAAAAAAAAAGAAAATAAAAGAAAAAAAATGTCGGATTTTTGTCTCTTCTGGATCCACTGCACAACCTTGTAAAAATATATTATCAAAAGGAAATGGTTTTACAAAAAATAAGACATACCATAAGAATGAATGAAAGACATTTTCCACAACACAGCTGTTCCCTGTTCCATGCTGGCCAACAGGTGCCCTAAGTAGTCATTATTCAAGGCCATTATTCTTTCACTGCCTTGGAGATGTGCGCAATATAACTGACTTTTTGTATAGTTTCCATATATTAGCATGTCTATAGTCACACATTATTATGTCATTTTCAATTCCCATGCTTCCTTATTTTCATAACCTCATTGGCCATGGCCAACTACATGGGCTTTTGAACCCCAATAATGAGATTTTTCCACACAACAAACCATTAGAGTGCAGGGAATGCATGTTTACCCCACTCTCTATGCTTTTGACAGGGGCACATAGGATTTTACAGGAACTGAGACTAAGATAAGGTTTTAACCCTACTTTTGAGGAGCTGTAACTCCTAAGCAATTTCTGCCAAAGCCAAAAAAGCAAACAACTATTAAGGGGACACAACTTGAAGCTGGCTACCCTTTCCACCCAGCATTTGGGCTCAGTTTGTTATGCCAAGAATAGACCCCATTTATCAATAAAGGGTTATGGTATGAAACCATTTACTGACATTAGAATATAGAAATATGATGGGTAGGACTTGTGAAATCAAGGCAAAATATTGTAACAGCCACCAGAGTATTGGCAGAACCCATCATTACAAGAATTTATATTATCTTGCTGTACCTCTAATTTCCACTCTGAAGATATCTAAACTGAGAAAAAAATGTGAAGTATTTACTAAAATGATATACGTTATAATACAAGTGTGCTAACTCATACATACATGAAGTGTTAAAATTCTCCATGAAATTTTGCTTTGCATGTAGTGTATGTAGACATAAAATACCTAAACCCACTCTTGAATCCAAAGTAGAAGAATATTTTTAGAAAAGATTAATTTTGAGATGCCTGAAAGAAGACAACAAAAGACCTAGCCTCTAGGACTGACCCAGCCATGTCAACCCTAATCTCCTATGTTTGGGAAGTCAGCTGGGCTTCTCCTTAGATCTATCTGCAACCACATCAGCCACACACACAACAGTGGCATCTTACATAGGAATCACAGTCAACCCTTCAACCTTTAACCCACGTGTCCCATATACTTGATATGCCCACTATGAGTTTACTTGTTTAATTGTTTTTATGCATAGATGGTGGCACTTGTACTTGTACTTGTACAGCCTGTCTCGCCCGTTTACCCTTTTCTTTAATTTACGAAAATATTTTACGTTATCTTATTTTGCTGTTACTAATGTTTATAACATCATAGTAATTATAATGTTTATAATAAAAATAACCATCGATATTCATAGCACTAGTAAAAATACATTTTCCTGCCAATTCAAGTAAAGGTGAAATCAGGTAAGGTAGAGCCATCTAGTGTAGAGACATTTCACAAAAAAATATAAAAAATGAGCACAGCATTTTCCCTGTTTTTTGTTCATTTTTACCCGGCGCAAATGGGTTAACCCATTGGATCTGGGAACCTCATGTCTTGCACATGGACCAAAATCTAGGCTTACTTGAGTGGTGGCATGTAGGCCTAATTCTACATGAACACTTATGCACAGTATCAAGCTCCTTGCCTCCTCTTTGCATGTCTTATTCTGCATATGCTTTTTTTAGCTATTTCCAGCCATGGCTCACAAATGGTACATTCCATCCTCATTTCCTAGTGGATACAATGAAAAAGCAACATCCTAAAGGACCTCTGAGTTTAACCACATGCTGCCAGGGAAAATTGTGTGCTCATTTTTATTTTTTTGTGAAATGTCTCTGCACATAGCTGGCTCTGCTAGTGCTTAGCCACAAAGGAGTCAATTAGTAGACCTTGTGACCTTACCTTATTTCAAATTTTCTTAACTTGGTGGGGAAGACATATTTTTTACTAATACTATGAATATCGAAGGTATTATCTTTATTATAGACATTATAATTACTATAATGTTATAAACATTAGTAACAGCAAAGTAAGATAATGTAAAATATATTTGTAAATCAAGAAAAAGAGTAAGTAAATGAGACAGGCAGTACTCATAACTGGCTCATTGGTGACTTAGTATCTTAGTAGCCTTCTATGTGTAACAACAATTAATAAAGTAAACAACCAGTGGACATGGCATGTACATGGGTTAACCTCTCTCTAAGAGCTTTGTGCATGAGACATCCCTGTCACCCACCACTCGGCAACAAAACCTCATGACAACATGTTTCTATCACTCTGTCCCTCAGTCATTCCTGTCACCCTCAGCCAGGTTTACTCATGATGAGACATTCTCATCATCATCCAACTGATTAAAGCTAAGAAAGGATTAAATCCAGGAGTAATTTAAAGTAGCTACAACAAAATTCATTGTGTGGCAAGTATGGGAATTGCATAATATTATGTGGCTAAAGACATGAAATGGAAGGAAAATTTGTAAGTAGTCTACAGTCTCACATATTCATTAGATGCACAATTACCAGAGCTTTTTTTTAAACATTAACATATATGTAACAAAAAACAATTGTAGGAAAATTATTTCATTAATTATACTGGTTACTACTTTATCACTTTAAAGTTTTAAAAATATAAGTCTTTTACATTTATGTTACAAACTTTAGAACTAGTAGCAGCTATTCATCTCACAATTCAAAGGTAAAATTTATGTTAGAATCTCAGGATGAGGTAAAATACAATTTGTTGTCTGTCATGAATAATATGTATTTTCATCTGATAATCTTGTCAATGAAACTTACTTGCATATGAAGGGTTCTATCAATATTTGTTTATTTCAGGAAATGTATACTTTCCATACTGGGTGGAAGAACATATGCAGCATGACTAGAATACATATATGTGTGTGTGTGTGTGTGTGTGTGTGTGTGTGTGTGTGTGTGTGTGTGTGTGTGTGTGTGTGTGTGTGTGTGTGTGTGTGTGTGTGTGTGTGTGTGTGTGTGTGTATGTATATATGTATATATATGTATATGTATATGTATATGTATATGTATATGTATATATATATATATATATATATATATATATATATATATATATATATATATATATATATATATATATATATATATTTATATATATA